AGGCAAATAGTTTGAGAGGTCCTATCTCGAAAAAACCCAACACAAAAATAGGGCTGGTGGAGTGGCTTAAGGTGAAGGCCCTGAGTTCAAGTCCCAGTAACACACACAAAAAAAAGAAAAATGAAGTAAAACTTTTCCTTTTGCCTTGCTGAGCAACTCCTGCACATTTCTTTGTTCACTGTTTGGGAACGGCATTTCTAACACTCCAGACATCGCAACTTTTTTTTTCTCTTTTTTTTTTTTTTTTACTATTTTCTGCATTTAAGTTCCCATCTAGAATGGATTGAGTACACAGATGATTTTATGCCCATGCAACTTTCTTTTTTTGGGAGGTGGGCAAGGTTGTACTGTAACCCAGACTAGCCTGGAACTAAAGATCCGCCTGCCTCGGCCTCCTGAGTGCTGGGATTACAGTTGTGTAACATCATGCCCAGTCAGACATGTCCACTACAACAAACTACTAACTGCACACCTTGTAGGCATGCCTGTGCTTTTTCCTTTATTTATTTATTTTTCTTTTTTGCAGTGCTGGAAATGGAACCCAAGGCCTTGCACGTGCTAGGCCACCATTCTACTACAGGACTACATCCCCAGCCCTAATGCCTGCCTTTTTAAAGAATGCTCTTCTTAGCAAGCACCAATGGCTCATGCCTGTAATCCCAGCTACTCAGGAGGCAGAGACCAGGAGGATCGCGGTTTGAAGCCAGCCTGAGCAAATTGTTCCACAAGACCCTATCTCAAAAAAAAAACCTTCACAAAAAAGGGCTGGTAGAGTGGCTCTACGTGAAGGCCCTGAGTTCAAGCCCCAGTGCCACAAAAAATAATAATAAAAAAAAAACAGAATGCTATTCTCAGGCATAGCAGATGATGAAGGAGAATGGTGGAAGGGGTGAATTTAAGAATGATATATTTAATATATTGTAAGAACTTTTGTAAATTCCACAATGTACTCCCACCCGGCACAATGATAAATAAATAAATACAAAGAATGCTATTCTCTCATCCTAGAGTGCTCTTTCTTCTACTAACTGAACAGATAGCTTCTCAGGTAAAATGCTACCTCCACAGAGAGACCTTCTCCAAGAATAGGTCATAGCTTAAGTCCTCATTTCAACAGATTTTTGCGGGTACTGTGCCAGTGGAACATAACTGCCATTTAAAATGTCTTCAGGTCCAACACTGGTGGCTCACACCTGTAATCCTAACTACTCAGGAGGCAGAGATCAGGTGGATCACGGTTCAAAGCCAGCCAGGGCAAATAGTTCATGAGAAACTATCTTGGAAAAAAAACACCACAAACCAATGCTGGCAGAAAAGCTTAAGTGGTAGAGAGCCTGCCTAGTAAGCATGAGGCCCTGAGATCAAGAGCTTTGGGGGTAGCGCATGTGCTTAGCATCTGTGAGGCTCTGGGATAAACTCCCATCACCAAAAAATATCTTCAAACAAATTACACTGTGATTTGGCATTAAATCACAGTGTTCTATAACTCCTGAGCACCGAGCAGAGTAGCAGAGAATAACTTTGTTATTAATGAAGCAAATGGGCTTCATGGAGGAATGAACACATTTCACATTTTGCAAAGAAACTGAGATTTTTGGTGGGGGGTGAGCAGTACTGGGATTTGAACTAAGGGCCTCATGTTTGCTAGGCAGGTGCTTTACCACTAAAGCCATTTCACCAGCCCTGTTTTGTGTTGGATTTTTTCAAGATAGGGTCTCTCAAACTATTTGTCTGGGCTAGATCCTCTTGATCTCTGCCTCATGAGTATCTAGGATTACAGGTGGGAGCCACAGGCACCCGGCAGGAACTGAGTTTTTTTTTTTTTTTTTTTTGTAGTACTGGGGCTTGAACTCAGGGCCTTCCCCTTCAGCCACTCACTCACTAGCCCTATTTTTGTGAGTGTGTGTGTGTGAAGTGTTTTTTGAGATATGGTCTCACAAACTATTTGCTGGGGCTGGCTTCAAACCACAATCCTACTGATCTCTGCCTCCTGAGTAAGTAGGATTATAGGCGTGAGCCACCAGTGCCCAGCTAGGAACTTGAGATTTTAAGGGACCCAAGAAAGGAATACCCCAAAACAGATGAAACTGTATTTTGGATTTTTCTTTTGTGTGGGTTGGGGGTTTGCTATTTTTGTTTTTGGAGCTCTAACACAGGGCCTTGCACATGCTAAACACGTACTTTACCACTGAACTACTCCCTCAGCCCTGTATGCTTAGATAGTAAGATGTATTAAAAGGATAATTGATTGCTCATAAAGCAAGAACGTGAAGAAATTCCAGAGACAATAGAGCAGCATTCTTGAGAGATGCTGTTTCATGAAAATCCTTGACAACACAGAACATGATATTATGTAGAAAAACAGCAATATCAGCAACTCTGAGTGTAGAAAAATAAGACTGCCTTAATCTATTTGTCAGGCAAATGCTCTACCATTGAGCTATACTCCTAACCCTTTGTTTGTTTGGTTTTTGGTTTGAGGTACTCCACTCTTGCTAGGCAGGTGTTACCAGTGGGTGGTCTCAGAAGACCCTGGTGAAGATCTCAGGTCCTTGGTTTCCCAAACAGCTGGATGGAGACACACAATTTACAAAGTAGTAAGATTTTTTTTGAGAGTGTATTGAGCTTGAGATAGAATGAGTGAAAGTACACTCCCCCAAGGCCGGTGGAAGGAGAGGGGAGCTGGCCCTAAGCAGGCTGGCTTAAGAGCAGCGCTTATGGCTCAACAGCCAGGTGCATTGCTTTGGATGGGTATTTACAGCAAGGGGAGGAAATTTGCATGGTACTTATGAGTGGCTTTTGGTAATTGGCCACACATGTGAATCTATTGAGCTATAAATAGGGGCACTTGTGAGCATGACCCAGTTTGGGTCCAGATGAAAATGCTGTTTCAAAACAGGCATTTGGGGGTGGTTCTGGGTGTGGTTAGATGATCTGTTCCCAGTGATATGACGTTCAAAGAGACCACCTGTTCCTCATGACCTGGTTTGGGTACTCTCCCTATTACTAGCTTGCCTCACAGGAGGTGTCCTACCACTTGACCCATGCCTCCAGCTCAGAAATGTGTTTTAAAGTTTGGTAGTTCTTTTTCTTTTCTCCTTTTATTTTATCATTTTTACATTTACTTATATGTGTATACATTGTTTGTGGCACTCCCCCCAAATATGAAAGTTCTTTTAATAATTACAAAACAAATTGTAAGTGTGTGATAGCTTGACAGGGTTTTATTTATTTGCTGTACTGTGGTTTGAACTCAGGGCCTACACCCTGAGCCACTCTGCCAGCCCTTTTTTGTGATGGATTTTTTTCCAGATAGGGTCTCCTGAACTATTTGCCTGGGCTGGCTTCGAACTGTGATCCTCCTGATCTCTGCCTCCGAGTAGCTAGGATTATAGGCATGAGCCACTGACACCCAGCAAGGTTTTATTTTATGTTACATCTTATAAATTGAAGGTATATTAAATTTAATGAAATAGATATGTCTAATAGAAATACTAGAAGAAGGCCAGGTACTTGTGGCTCACACCTGTAATCCTAGTTACTTGGGAGGCTGAGATAGGGAGGACCTCTGTTTGAGGCCAGCTGGGTGAATATTTACAGAAGCTCCATCTCCAAAATAACCAGGGCAAAATGCAGCCCTGAGTTTAATCTCAGTCCTACCAAAAAAGAAAGAAAGAAAGAAAGAAATGGCAGAGTGAAAAAATAGAGTAGGGACAGTATAGATATTTTAAGTCATGATTGAGAATATTCTAGACTTGATAAAATAAATAAGTCTTCAGTTCCCTGAAAGGCTAACTAAAATTAAATCCATATCTATCCATACTTAGGTATATGGTAGAAAACCTGCAGAATTCTACAAACCAAGATACTAAAAGCAACTAAAGAAAAACACTGTAAACAAAGCAAAAAAGAAACAAACCAGGGGATAAATATATATTAACATTGTAATATATAAAACATTCCTTTTAATCGATAGGTAGAAGTTTAATTAAAAAAATTACCCAGCCTATTAAGGACTGAAATTTTCACAAAAACATACAGATTTAAAAACCAGATTATTGTGGTGTGGGGCATGGCTCAGTGGCAGAGCACTCACCTAGCACTCCCAAGGCCCTTCTGCACAATATAAAAATAAAAACAAAATTACTAAATATTGTTGGAAAAATAAGGGAAAATGACCATGCTCAAACAAAGTCTTGCCTGGAATGTAAATTGCAATCTTTTCAAGGTCAATTTAGTAGCACTAATCAAAAATTTACTTTAAGTTGCTTGACTCAGCAATACTTCAAGGAGCTGATCATACAAAAAGCACTTAAACGCTCAAAGGTGTTTGAAGTTACAACAGGAAATTGACAAATTAGTTTACATATATGGGCTATTATGTATCTTTTTGAGAGTTATACCAATAGTTATGTGTGGCATAAGATCCAATGTACCTTAATGAGGCAGAAGTATTTACAGTATGAAGATATTTGTTAAAATCTGTGTTTCTATAGAAAAAGGCTTAGAGCGAAGTGTACAGTGAGCATTAAATGATTTTTATCAAGTGTGAGGGGGGTGTTAAGAGTTCATCTAACTTTAAGTGAACAACTTTATGGCTTGACATTTTGGGTGCATCACTTCTACACGAGCAAAACTAAAGTGCGTATTTGCACTCTTGAGGCTACAAGGAGTTGATACACGTTTCATGTTCATGGATGGCAACTTTCTACCTCCGAAGTGGGAGTCTGAGCAGGCATCACCAAGTTCGGGTTTGATCCGGCACAGACCTGTTTCTCGAGACCCCAGGTAAGCCTCGTGCCCAGAACAACGAAACAGGCTCAAAACACGGAAAAAGGACAGGAGGCCGGCGGGACGCCCCTCCGCGGGCCTCCGGTAGTGAGCAGCGCCCCTGCACACTCATCCACCAATGCATGTTCAGTGGGGCGGGCTTTGTGCGAACCAGGGATACGATTGGGCCTAGCCAGATGATAGGCGGGGCAGCGTGGTGACGTCGCAACACGAGGCGCAGGGGCGGAGAGCGCGCACTAGCGGATGCGGAGGCATTAAACGGTTGCAAGCGGAGCAGGCTGGTTGTCGTCTTTCCGGATCTCAAGACTTCAGCCGCCGCGTTCGCTCCGAGTCCCAGGAAGCCTAAACCAGCTAGGCCGTACTCCCTCCCACCTGCCTGCAGCCCGTCGTTGCGACTCCGCCACCATGTTCGAAGCGCGCCTGGTCCAGGGCTCCATCCTGAAGAAGGTGCTGGAGGCGCTCAAGGACCTCATCAACGAGGCCTGCTGGGACATCAGCTCCGGAGGAGTGAACCTGCAGAGCATGGACTCGTCCCACGTCTCCTTGGTGCAGCTCACCCTGCGCTCCGAGGGCTTTGACACGTACCGCTGCGACCGTAACCTGGCCATGGGCGTGAATCTCACCAGGTGAGCTCCGGGACCGCGGAGACTGGGGCCCTGGCGCACCGCCAGCTCTGGCTCTTGGCGCGAGCGCCGCCGTCCCGAGTTCTCATTGGCTGACAAGGGCCATCCGCGCGCTCTCGTTGGCCTGCGACGCCGGGGGCGGGGCGCGGAGGAGCGCGCGGTTCCGAAAAAGCCCGCGCTGGCAACCGCGCGAACCTGCTCTTTCCGCGCCAAAGTCACAAAGCGGATCGTGGCGGGAAAATGACCTGCTTTCCGCGCTGCCGGGGAAAGACTGCTTCATTGCTCCTTGCTCATTAAATGGCAGCAGCCTTGGATGACAAACCTTAGTCCTGGTTGACTTCAGTGCCCTAATGAGAATGTCACTGTTACATAAATAAGACAATAGGTTGTTTCTGGTCTTTTATTTATTATTACGGACTCGCAGTGGGCATCTTAAGATCCTGGACTTGTGTAAAGTTTGATCTAGGGTAGTGGCTTTTAGTTAAGTGACCACTTCCTATCTAGTAGCACCTGTAGGTTTAAATCCTAAAAGGCTTTTTAAAAAAAAAAGCCGGTGTTGTGATGCACGCCTGTAATCCCAGCTACTCGGGAGTCCGAGGGTCGCGGGTTACAGGCCACCTTGGGCTACGTAGGAAGGCCCTGTCTCAAAAAAGTAGGGGCTTACATGAAGTATTAGTCACACTCTGCGGTGTGCCTGAGAGGTTTACTCTATCGTTTTTAATGTTGGATATTTTTAATCCAGTAACATCACAACTTGATAATTGACTTCACCCACTGAAGGGATGGGATTCAGAACGTACTCCATTATTACCCAAAAGTGAAACTGCTGTTGGTGGGGGGTTTAAGTATAAATATTGATGAATTACATTCCAAAATGGCTGCATTCATATACACCACCTCCAACCCGGGTCCCATTACCCTCTTCACCAAATCCTCAGGCTGCCCCATGTGTGACAGTAGTAACTCTTAACCGCATAGAAGTCTAGGTCCTTAGCAGAAGGTGCTGATTTAAAACGCTGTGTCTTATGTTCTAGCATGTCCAAAATATTAAAATGTGCTGGCAATGAAGACATCATTACATTAAGGGCTGAGGACAATGCAGACACCTTGGCACTGGTATTTGAAGCACCAAGTAAGTTGTACTCTGTGTCAGTATCTCAGCTGTGAGAATATTGAGAATTGTGATGGGTGTAGAATTTACATCTTAGTTATGACCACGTGATTTTCTTTAGTAATACGTTTTCTTTTGGCAGATCAGGAGAAAGTTTCAGATTATGAAATGAAATTAATGGATTTAGATGTTGAACAACTTGGAATTCCAGTGAGTATCAGTTTCTGATCAAAAAGCATACTGTATGTAGTTATGATAGTTATGTAAGATACATTACTAATATAATTTAAAGCCTATTTCCAAACAACTTTTTCTAGAAGTGTAACTGCTGGTGTGTGATCCAAAGTGAGATTTTATTATTTGGAATGACACTCATTTTACTAAACCACAGTTGTCCAAAATTCATCATTTTAGACCTTCATGCGTCTCTCTCTCTTCTTTTGTGATACCGGGGCTTGAACTCAGGGCTTTCACCTTGAGCCACCCCATCAGCCCTATTTGTGAAGGGCTTTTCAAGACAGGGTCTCGAACTATCTGCCTGGGCTTCTTCTGATCTCTGCCTCCTGAGTAGCTAGGATTACAGGGGTGAGCCTCTGTCATCCTGCTTTTTTTTTTTTTTTAAAGCCCGGGCTGGCTTTGAACTGTGATCTACCTGATCTCTCCTCCTGAGTAGTTAGGATTATAGGCATGAGCTACTGGTGCCCAGCCATGCATCTCTTTTTAAAGTTTTATTTTTTTGCATGTGGGATGCTTGTTTTTTGTCAAGACTAGATTTTAAGTTTATGTTAGAAGTTTATTAAGGCTAGCTTTATTAACATCAAGGGAGAGGAGAGATGTTGGGATGTTTCAAATACCTAATAAACTGTTTCTTTTAGAAAGCAGGTAGGTGTGCTTACATCAGCATCAATTCTGTGTCATACCCCTGATGTCCTCTTAATGTAGCCCTGAAGGATGATTATGAGGAGGCTCTAGTAACCTGGGTAGTTGGGTATGTTAAGAAATTATACAGTCCGTAAGGATATTTTAAAGTATCCAAAAAGTCTTACATTCTGAGTTCTTGTTGAGATGCTGCATCTTAAGAAAGGGTGCCAAATCTTTATGAGGCGAGTGATTGACCATTGATTTTTTTTTTTTAAAGGAACAAGAGTACAGCTGTGTGGTAAAAATGCCTTCTGGTGAATTTGCACGTATATGCCGAGACCTCAGTCATATTGGAGATGCTGTTGTAATATCCTGTGCAAAAGATGGAGTGAAATTTTCTGCAAGTGGAGAACTTGGAAATGGAAACATTAAGTTGTCACAAACAAGTAATGTTGATAAAGAAGAGGAAGCTGTAAGTATAAGTACTAAAGTCAGTGTTTCTATTTAAGTAAAATTACTTTAGACAATGGCAGTACTGTTTAACACTAGTTTGTTAATAACGAATAATAAACACAATTGCATTCAAAGTAATTTATGAAAATAGAAAGATAACTTGAAATCTGCAAGTGATTTATAAGCGCCATCCAATTTAGAATTATCTGAAATAGAGCTAGGCCATAGTGGCTCATGCCTGTAATCCTAGCTACTTGGCAGGCTGAGATTGTGAGATTGAGGTTTAAGACAAGCCTGGGCAAATAGTTCATGAGACCACCATCTCCAAAGGGTGTGGCTTGAACAGTGCAGCACCTGCTTTGCATGCTCAAAGCCCTGAATTCAAATTCCAGTCCTACTTAAAAAGATATCTCAAATTGAAATGCAAATTCAGCATTTTTACAAATCACAGAACAATGGGTTTGTGGATGAAACTCACAGATGGTCTTAAAGATAGGATTGAGAAACTAGGTAGGTGTTTAACCTTTTGCTTTCTGGAGATTATCTTTTGCCAAATAAGTGAAGATTGGACAGAAACTCAACAGAAGGGGTAAAAGTCTAGCTGTTGTGAGCATGTAGTTCTTTTTGTGTCCATTTTCTTTTTTTGTGTGTGTGTGTGGGGCTGGAGTTTGAGCTTGGCTTTGTGCTTGCAAAACAGAAACACAGATTAAGCCATACCTCCATCCATTTTGCTCTGTTTATTTCAAAGATGGGGGCTCTCAAACTGTTTATACAGGCTGGCCTCTAACTGAGATCCTCCAGATGTCAGACTCACAAATAGCCAGGATTACAGGAGTGAGCTGCTTGTTAGTGTGCCCATATTGTTAGTCCTTTTTTTAGAGGTGGAGGGGCAGACTTAAACAAGGTTAAGTGACAGTTTAGACCTAGTCACAGGCCTGAACAGTACTGACGTTTGAACTTGGGGCTTTGTGCTTGATAGGCGGGCACACGTCTCCAGTTGTAGGAATTAAAATTTAAATGAGGGTGCTCCTCATTTAACCAAGCTATATTTCTCAGTAAAGGTTTTCCTTAAACTAGATGCTTTATTATATGCTTAGAGTAATTATAAACTAATAAATGTTTGATCATTGCTAGCCTGAGCAACAATTAAACTATAAATTGCAGACAAAAGTCTGAACCAAGTGTTAGGATTGGATATAGTAATATATGCAAAGTGCTTAGCACAGTGTCTGGCATTAGAAGTTTACAGTAAATATTAGATACTGTTTTCTTGTCTCCTGCATGAGCTCAAATGGAGGTAAAACTCAGTTTAAAGATTTGAACATGTATGCATATGTGAAAAAGGTCAGGGGCTAATCCTTACCTTTATCTGTCTTCTAAATTTTATTTCTACTCCCCTTCCAACCTTGGCTTTATGTGAACTATAAATATGATGACAGCCAAAAAGAAATTGTAAGGAATATTTCAGCATTCATATTTTTGTGACTATTTCACAAGTTTGTTTGAATCAATATTTTAGTAAAGTTCATATATTGAAATTGATCGATATGCTCCCTTAACTGTCATTCAGCCTTATTGGTTACTTCTTCAATTTCTCTTTCCCTCTCTATGGCAGTTTTTAGTTGAAGAAACCAGGTCATTTGTCAGTTTTTCCAGAATCTGGATTTTGCAGATTACATGCATCTCTGTCAATTAACATGCTCCTCTACCGCACCCTATTAACTGGTAGCTCCAGCTCTAGAAACTGGATGATTTTCAGTATTTTCCTGTTTGTTTTGGGGACAGGAGATCAAGAACACTTTGTAGGGGTATGGATGTCTTTTTGTAATGTTAGCAGCCGTAATACCTATCATCTACGTCCATCAAGTCATTAGTGTTTGCCAGGCTAAAATGTATTGGTTTATTTTGTTCCTTCATGAAGTAGCTGATTTATTAGATTTTCATAAAGAGCAACTTTGCCATATCATTTTTAGGTTGCTTGAGATACAGTTCCACAATTAATTTGACAGCACCCTTTAAAAAAGGTTTTTGTGTGTTTTCTAATGTGTATTACAAACTACTGGATTGTGACTTTTTCAGTGTAATGAATCTTGTTTTGTCCTATAGGTTACCATAGATATGAATGAGCCAGTCCAGCTAACCTTTGCGCTGAGGTACCTGAACTTCTTTACAAAAGCCACTCCGCTCTCTCCTACAGTAACACTTAGTATGTCTGCAGATGTACCTCTAGGTAAGACACTACAATGAATTTGAGCATTATTTTGTAGGTAGTATATGTGATACTCCTCAGTAATTAACTGTTTTCCTGTCTTTCAGTTGTAGAGTATAAAATTGCTGATATGGGACATTTAAAGTACTATTTGGCTCCCAAGATTGAGGATGAAGAAGGATCTTAGGTATACATAAAACCTGAGGAAATAATACTAAGCCTTTGAGAACTGCTTCCGAGATGCCAGCAAATACTTAACGTCTTTCCTGTCACCAAATTTGTACTCTGAGTACATATGTAGATACTGCTTTCTGTAAATAACCTATTATTTTTCTCTTCATTCTTTACAATTTGTTTAAGAAATAAAATTCAAAATCATATCTGGTCTTGTTAACCTAGAAATACATCTGCCTTATTTAGAAATACTCCTGGTGATTTTTATAACAGAGGTTTTGACTGTAAATGCAGTTTTAAGAAATTTTTTTCAATTTAAATAAAGTTATTTGAATTTCAGATGTCAGAGGACAGTGCCTTCATTTGGACCATAACTGTTGCAAGGACCTTGCTGAACTCTCAGTGAAAGCTACCCTCTCATGTAAATGTGCTTATTTTGTCAGTTTAGAGCAGGTTGGTATAAATTATAGTCATTTTAGAAAGGAAGAAAAAAAACCAAAACTTTTCAGGGCAGTGTCTTCTTCTGGCCTAGAGCTTGTTTTACTAGTCATGAGTCTTTGGTAGATTTGTGATGGGGCCCAAGGAGTATTTTGATGGCTTAAATTTCATGGATGTTGAGTCCAACCAAGAAAGTGTAAAGGTCCTGAGTTTGTGAAGAAACACTAAAAATATTCCCAGTAACTGCTGGGAGGTCATTGGCATGCCTTATAATTGAATTTTTTTTTTTTCTTGGTGGGACTGAAGCTTGAACTCGGATTCACAGTAGTAAAGCGGGTGTTCTATTGCTTGCTTGAGTCACACTTCCAGTCCAATCTGCTCTGGTTGTTTGGGAGATAGGGACTACTGAACTATTTGCCATTTGTCTGAAACCTCAATTCTGCCAGCCTCAGATTCAAGTAGCTAGGATTATAGGCGTTGGCCACCAGTGCCCAGCTCTACCTAGCAAACATTATCTTTCTTTTTTCCAGTATATTTTGTTTGGATTAGCTGATTTCTCTGGTGGTACTTGGAGTGAGTGCTAGATTATTCAACTTTACAGTTCACTATATCCAGTAATTACTATACTTTCCGTGTGTCAATGGGTAGGGAGACTGCAAAGGTACCCATTGATGGGAATTTTGGGAGTGATGGAAAATATTTAGATTGGTCACGGTTCCAGGACTACATTTTTCGGAACTCAGTCAGTTGTGCTTTACGTAAATTGTACCGTAATCAACCTGGCTTTTCAAAAAGCTTCACGGGCTTTAAAGTTCCTTCTGGGCAGACTTCTTAACCTGCGGGAGCCCTGTTAACAAGGACAGGGAAACAAGCCCAAGAATGTGGGGCTACCAAGAGGCTGCAAGCGTGGGTGTTGACCGCACAGATTGCGGAGCATGCCGGTGGAAGGCTGCCTTGGCGGCAAATTGAGGCTTGGCAGCCAGCAGCCTTCCCCTCTGCCCGCGGGTCCCTCCTGCTTACACCACCTTGGCCGGGCTGGGTCTGGGAAGCAGCTACACATCAGGTCAACCTATGGCCCTACTATGACCCAGGTGGGTGGGGACCCTACAAACCCACCCGCCTGCCACAGGAGAGTGTCTGGCATAGCGAAGGGCGCTGGTCAAGGAGCGTCCCAAAAGTCGCCGGGCACTGCCCGGACAAGTGCCAACATCTCCCGCATGATGCCGAACCTAACCTACTATCCTGCTACACGCCCAGGAAGCTAGGCGAGAAGACGGTTAGTCTCGTGACGTCATTTCCTGCGCGCCTCTACCGACGTGTTACTTCCGGTGGCGCGCTGCGTTTGCTGGGGCGCCAAGGCGGCAGTTAGGTTAGTGGTGCGGGTGGAGTGTGCCATGCGTCTCCGGACGCCTCCGTTGCGAACCGTGAGCGAGCTCCCTGCGCGCGAGCGGCCTGGCACGGCGCTCCTGTAAGGCGTGCGTTCAGCGGGGCGGCAGCGGACTCGCCCTCCTCGCGGAAGTCAGCCCTGAGGCCTCGGTGTGAAGCGTTTGCCCCGCCCGGGCACGGTTGACTTCTTTCCAGAAACCAGTTTTGTTTGTTTTACGTCTAAATTCGTGTGGTCTTACTTATCTGGGTGGTGACGTCTGGAGACCGGCGGGAAAACAGTGTATGTAACGGCGCTTAATGCTAGCTAGGCAGTGTGCCAAGCGCTTTCCTGATAGGTGCTTTTGTAATTCTTTGCTAACTCTCGGGTGCTGAGCGAATTGGGCGTCTTGCGGTGGAGCTGGTTAAAAAAACCTGCTTGGAAACTTAGAGTGACACTTTGAAAATAGTGTCAAGTTATGTTGAGAGTTTTACCATCTTTTAGAAATTTTTGTTTGCTAAGGAAAAGCATGTCTTCCTCTCTTCCTCACCTTCTGCGAATTTTTTTGTTTTGCTGATAGTGTATGATTTTTTTTTTTTCCGGTACTGGCGTTTGAACTCAGAGCTTACACCTTGAGCCACTCCACTAGCCCTTTTTGGTTATGGGATTTTTCGAGATTGGTTCTCTCGAACTATTTCCCCGGGCAGGGTTTGAACCGTGATTCTCCCGTCCTGAGTAGCTGGGATTACAGGCGTGAGCCACCGGCGCCCAACATAGTTTGTTTTGTTTTGTTTTTTAAAGTCAGTACAAGTCAGATGTGATTAAATGCCCTCAAAACTCCCATATACTGGTCGTTTAAACTTTTTTTAAAATAAGTTTTACAGAGTTAAACTTAATCGTGTCATTAGGATGGCAACACTAAAAACCTAGTAGTCAATGCGTCTTGACGCCCTTTTAGAAAAGCATGTAGATTAGTATTACTCTTCTTTTTTTCAATACTAGATTGCTGAACCAGTATGTAATTAACCAAAACGGACAGGGACAGTTAAAACCAATTCTTTCATGTTGAAACGAGTTTTGGACCCAAGGCCCAAACTCCTGGGATTCCATAAACTGGCTCCACCCACTTGTCCCTGTACGCTAAAGAGAGAGGCATGGTGAAAACCGAGAAAGGAGACTTATTACAGGGCTGGGGACATACCGTGGGAAGAGGCAGAGTAAGCGCTCTGATCATCTTAAGCCGTCTTAGGGGATATGAGCTGTAGTTGGGCTTTTTAGTTTGTTTTTGGCGGGCCTGGAGTTTGAAAGTAGGGCTTTGTGTTTGCCAAGCAGATGCTCTGCCTCTTGAGCCACACGTCCAGCCCCCGAGCTGTAAGATTAAATAAACAAAGAACTGGGGGCAGGGGACATTTAAACAGTCCCAGTCACAGGTGTCCTTGTTCTCAAAGGTTCCCGAGTTGTAGGCTAGGGTCATTGTCACCTGGCTAGTGGTTCATCCTGAGACTTTACTGTTAGGAAGATGTTTCCATTTTTGTCTTTCCTGGAATCCAAGGTGATTGCAAAGTAACTGCAGAGAGTTCTGCTTAGAGCAAGAGACAGATACAAAATGAGGGAGAAATGCTGTGCTTTTTGCCTGCTTTTAATTTGTGCACCTGAGTGAGGAGTCCATGTTTTTCAGCAAAAGCGGCTTGAGCACCTCTTACAATTCTAGTTAATTTAGCAGCCCAGTAACAGCTTGTCAATTTCAGAGTTAAGGATGTGGAAAGCATAATTGCCTGGCATCTGAGCCAGGCTGAGTAATTACTGCCATCATCTAGATTTACACTGTCACACCAGAGAGAGGCCAGTCTTCGTTTTGTTATTTTATGTTCCTTTATTGAAATACTTAATTTTCTGTCTTTGTAGCTTTTGGGGGGGGGGCGGGCAATACTGGGGTGTGAACTCTGGGCATCGAGCTTGCTAGGCCTGCGCTGTAAGCTTGAGTCACTCCACCAGCAATTTTCTCTCTTTAAAGATAGCTTTTGCATTTAGAATTCAGAAAGTGTTCCAATTAAGATAGATTTACTTGTGCTATTCAATAACTTTTGTTACTTTATGAAGGAAAATGTACAAATTTCATTTTTTTTCCTTTGAGACCAGGTTTCATTAAGTTGCCCAGGCTGGCCTCCAATTTCAGATGCTTCCACCTCATTCTCCCAAGTAGCCGAGATTACAGGCATCTACTACAGTGCCTGGCCCAAAATAATTAATTTAATTTTTCATTGTCATATTAGGGTACATTTTGATAGTTACAAAATTTTGTAGCTGAATTCACTCCCTCCATCGTTCTTCTTTATCCTCCCTCTCCTCACCTAACCCAAATTAAAAAAAAAAAATTATTTGGTGGTACTGAGGTTTGAACTCAGGGCTTCACACTTGCTAGGCAGTACTCTACTGCTTGAGTTATACCTCCAGTCCATTTTGTTCTGGTGATTTTGGAGAAGGGGTCCTGAGCTATTTGCCCAGACTGGCCTTGAATCAAAAACCTCCTGATCCCAGCCTCTCAAGTAGCTAGGATTACAAGCGTGAGCCACCAGCACCCAGCTCAAAATTTTTTATTTTAATAAGTGTCACTGTTTTAAATTTATCTGCTTTCAAACTGGGCGAAGAAGCCATGATTTCATGGCTGCTTTCTGCTTTGAGTATTATACTAGTAAACCAGACTTAATCAATTTTTTTCAGTTGCTACATAATCTGAAAAGTGAAATCATTTCTTTCAACTACTTGGAGTGGTACAGAGAGACAGGCATTATCTGAAGTCACTAGTATAGTACTCATGGGGCCAAGAGGCTATTCAAATCTCCAAGAAATTTTACAGATCCTTTGCATTGAAAAGATGATGCCCGTCAAAGGAGAAATAGACAAAATACTAATGTGACTGTATTCGTTCCTCATTCACTGTTTGTTCCTGGCAAACAAAATCACTCAAGGATATACTCTAAGCAGGGCAGGAGACAGGCAGTATCAAAGTGGAGTAGTCGAAAACGTACACTTCAATGTCAGGTACACCTGGATTAAAGTCCCACTCTTCCACGTACTCTGTGTGACTTTGGAAAAATGACAAGGCAGGGAACATTGGTGGCAAGGTAAACTTGGTCCTGTTCTTGGTGAGTGTCTTGGCTGTCATTCTGTGAGGATGAACTAGAGTAGATACACAATGAGAATATTCTCACTGTCAGGAATGTCGTGTTTCAAGAGCGGTGGAGCCTAAGTTGCTGGGTGCAGTATGACATGGCAGCCCAGAACTCAGTACCTGACATCTGAAATCGTTGACAACAATGTACTCTTGTGACGACTAGATGACAATCTTTTTGTTTTAGACAGCTGTGTCAGCGTGTTATGATGCCAGCTCGCACCAACCTGGCTACTGGAATCCCCAGTAGTAAAGTGAAATACTCAAGGCTTTCCAGTACAGATGATGGCTACATTGACCTTCAGGTAAATGCAGAAGGGAAATGACAGACTGGTTGGCTGTGTTTCTCTTGAGTTAGCAAAGGGACCTCCAGGTGGAGGTTTTGCTTACTACCCTTGGGGATTAGAGGGAGCAGAAAGAAGTAAACTCATCTCTTTGAACTTTTCAGCCCTATTTTGGCAAGGAAGTTTTAAACCAATTCCAATATTGTCCATTTCCAGTTGTTAATTGTAATGCCTTGTAGTTGCAAGTTTCATTTAGTTTATCCAGAAAATAATAAGATTTTGTTTTAAGGACTGTGATAATTTACAATTTAGTGAAAGTCAGTTCATCTTTTAAGGGAGAAACTAACGGCTAAAGCCAGCAGATTGTGGGAATCCTTCCTCATTTCCTGATGTCATGAGATCTAATTTATTAAAGGTATTCTTTGTGACAAACAGTAAGTAAAACAGAGAATATCTGTTAATATCCTGACCACTATTTATTTATTTTTATTATTTTTTGTATAGTACTGGGGTTTGAACTCAGAGCCTCACACTTGCTAAGCAGGCGCTTTACTACTTGAGCCACTCTGTTAGCTCCTGATCATTATTTATAAAATTGTAGTATAGCATCCTTTTTGCCCACTTTTCCTTAAAGTAGGATATTCTAGGTGGAACTAGAGACAAGGATAAAGTAGCAGGAACCCATTCTTTTAAATATAAATAAACCAATGTTCTTTGAACCCCTACTTACAGAGAGCTGAAAATAGATCTGGGAAGCTTCCAGTTAGGTCAGATTTAGCTATGAACCACATCTTAGAAAGTCTGTCTCTAATCTTAACCTTGAATTGAACTTGGTCATAAGGCAGTGCTTTAGAAAAAGCTGAAATTGTCTGTTTGTAAAACCTTAATTGTATGCTAAACTTAACTTTCTATTCCAGAAGTTGTTTAACTTCATTGCTTGTCTATGGCATGGTGTGTAATCTTAAATCCCCACGTTAGTATAGCCATCCATGTGTCAGGCACTTGCTAAATATGTGTCTATGAACAAATGACTGTAAAGTAGTTCCTGTTTTTGTGAAAACAAGTTTCTTCAGGTACAATGAATGGCCTGTGGAAGGAGATCAGAACTAGGAAGGATGACATTTGGCATTCCATTCCTTGGAGTGACCATTAAAGCATAGCTAAAGCTTTGTTTATTGCCTGTCCCTTTGCTTTCTCTCCCAGAGGTGCACTTGGGTGGTAGAACATACTTGAAAACACTTGAAGCATCCAGTTTGTTTCTTAATTATAATCCTCCTTGTTTTAAGGTGTCTTAGTCCTGATATTTACATCTTCTTTGTCTTTTTGTTTGTTTGTTTCTCTTCCAGTTTAAGAAAAGCCCTCCTAAGATCCCTTATAAGGCCATTGCACTTGCCACTGTGCTGTTTTTGATTGGCGCCTTTCTCATTATCATAGGCTCCCTCCTGCTGTCCGGCTACTTCAGCAAAGGGGTAAGCTGGTGGACATGTGGAAATGTGCTATGGGATTTTTAAAATGTGAGCCAGAGCTATATTTCTAGCTAGTACAGCAGATTCCAGCAGATAGACAAAAATTTTTTTTTCTTTTATAGTTTGTTCTCTGAACAACAAATTTCTCCCATAATTCCTACGAGGTGAGTGGTAGCAGATAGGAAAACTTGACCTCTGAGATACTGAGCAATCTGCTCATTATCACAGTTTGGAACAGCAAAGCTGAACCTGGCATCCAGGAGTCCTGATTGGTAAAGGGTTGTAGTTGGAGTACGTCTGTCATTTGTAATAGCACCAACATACTGGGCAGTGTTTATCTTTGTTTTGTTTTAATTAAAAAAAAAAATTGTTGGTACTGCAGTTTGAACTCAGGCCCTTATGCTTGATAGACAAGCACTCTACCACTTGAGCTACACCCCCAATGCTAGACAGTGTTTGAGAAGAAGCAGTGAGTCTTGTATAGGTATGGGGCCATTGAGCCTCATAAATCATTTCCTCTGACATTGATTTGGTTAAAGTTCCATTGAGTTTCACTATGATACCATGGAATCCTAAAGTGGTTTTTGGTGGTTCTTTCTCTCAGGCCATTCCCATATATAATGTGTCTTAAGTTATCCTGAATGGAGTCCGACCATAACCCATTCTCTTTAACACATACCAGGAAAAATACAGTTCGTTGTGGTATTCTATACAATTACAAAAAGTGAAAAAGAACCATAGTGTTCAAAGGGAGGCAGTTAAGTGAAATTGTGGTACATCCATTTCTGTGGAATGTTAAACACCATTGCAGCCTAAATATATGATGAGTATTGAATACTATTGACTAATATGTCTATAAAAGAGAAAACAGGAGTATGATATGTTCACAAGTAAGAACTTTTTTTTTCTTTTTTTGGTGGCAATGGGGTTTGAACTCAGGGTTTCATGCTTGCTAGGCATGTGATCTTAGTGCTTGAGCCACTCTGCCAGGCCAACAACTAAGAACTTTAAAAAAGAAAACAGAAGGAAAGTCAGGCGTGATGCATGCCTGTTATCTCAGCTACTCCAGAGGCGAAGGCAGGAGGATCTTGTGTTCAGCCCAGACAAAGTTAGCAAGATCCTATCTCAAAAACAAAATAAAAAAAGAGCTAAGGGCTGCTCAAGTGGTAGAGTGCTTGCCTAGCAAATATGTATAAGGCCCTGGGTTCAATACCCAGTACCATAAAAAAGAAAAACAAATAAAAAAAGGAATAGAAGAAGATAAGCCAAATATCTTGTGAATGAGAACAGATAACTTTTTTTCTTTATAATTTTTAGTGCTCTGCAGTTTTTTGTTTGTTTTTCAGTTTATAATCAGGAGGGGGCTGATGATGTGGCTTAGTGGTAGAGTGGTTGCCTGGCATGCTGAGGCCTTGGTTTGATCCGCAACGCTTGGTGAGGAGGGGGCTCTGGTTTATACTTGGGAAGAAGAGTGATACCAATCCTTTACCTCAGTAGTGCACTACCCAAAGAAAATGTACAGAACAGTGTAAAATACTGATCTATGGATTGGGTCCATGACTTTATTTTAAAAATGTGTAAATTGTAGGTACTAATGTTTTCCTCTTTTTGCCACCAGGGGGCAGACCGGGCCATTCCTGTCCTGATCATTGGTATTCTGGTATTCCTGCCCGGCTTTTACCATTTGCGCATCGCCTACTATGCATCCAAAGGCTACCGGGGTTACTCCTACGATGACATTCCAGACTTTGACGATTAGCACTCACCTCAGACCTGAAGAGAAGAGTCACAGTGGGGCAGCATCCAGCTTTAAGTTACTGAGCAGAAACTATGGCTAAGGGCTGAGGAATTCTGCAGTTTGCAGATGTTTAGCAAAACATTGGCATGTTTTTATGGGTCCACCTGCAAAATGTTCACTGAGCTTATAGTCAGTTAATTAGGACATGCTCTGTTTTTCATCTCTTGGCCCTGGCAAAGCTCAACAAGATTTTTCCACATGAATATGTATCATGGAAGAATAGCAAGGTTAATTGTCTGGAAAAGTAGGAGGTTATTCTGTAGTGGAAAGTATTACCGCTACCCCCTCTTTAGAGTTGAACGTTTCTTTAAAATAGACTTCATTGTCAATTTGTTGTTTTAGCAAATGGAAGAAAGGCGTATGTCTAATTTCTTATTACTAAGTAATTTTTTTTTCTTTTATTCATATTTGCATACAAGGCTTGGGTCATTTCTCCCCCCCTGCCCCCAAGTAATTTATTTAAAAAAAAAAAAATCCACTACATTTTTCTCTACCTTCATATTCTGATAGAAGAAAGTGTGGGTCCATCTGTAATATTTTTTTACTTTCTTAATTGACAGCAACCAGGAATTTTTTAAGCCACAGAGTTAAGTTTTTAAAATGTAAGCACTTTCTCTGATAACCAGTCTTTGCCCAGCCATGAACTAGTTTCCCACTAGGTTGGCCAGCATATAATTTGGGTCACTATGTCATTTGAAGATCAAGATGTTCTATATATCATGCCTTTGAGGACTGGACTTTGGGCTGTTTCTTAATGAGAAATGTAGATAAGCAGTTACTATTTAGAGTTTATAACCTTATTGTTAGCACTTGGTACTATGATATCATTCTGCTAAAGATTGAAAGACTTGACCTAAATCCCTGGAGGAATAGATTGCCTTTGGTTAATTCTGTTTCCTAGCTTTAAAAAAGTGATTTATATTCAAAAGAAATTAAAATGTCAAAATCCAAGTTCTAGGCTTCACATGAGTTAACTTTTAGCATATTTCAAGATTTTAATGATTTTATGATGTCTTTGATCTTAGTAATCCAGGACGACCTTTGTTTTTAGGTAACTGGCATCATGAATCAGATCTTTTCCAATCAGTTTTTTACTCTTATGGACTTGGGCAGCTTGGAGCCTAAACATGCCGCTGAGATTTGGGAGGCTGTGAGTAGGGTAGGTTTGAGGGAGAAGATTAGTTCACTTTTGGATGTGCTACATTATAGGCGTCTGCTCAACATCCAAAGGTTGCTGTGGAGGAGGCAATTGCTGTGCAGTGTGTCTAGAATTCAGGAGGGGGTGGTTAGAGATAGAAATGTGTGAGTCAGTATTTGGGCAGTATCTTCAGAGCCGTGGGGCTGGATGAGATCACCAGTGGACTGAATATATATGGAGAAGAAAGGAGAACTTGAGAAATGAGGGACAGAGACTGACCTGAAGCATCCTCCAAGTTTGGATACATTTGGTAATGGGAGGAGAACCTGAGACCTCCAATGCTCTAGAGTTCTTGACACTTGACAGTGAAGATATGAGGTATAATAATACATAGAGCTTTGCAATGGGCTATGCTTGCAAATCAAAGTTCAGATAGAGTGGTGTCAGCCAAATCCAGTTATTTGGTCCTTTTTATAAAGATAGTGATTTTCCTAGTAAGAAAAATCAAAATGGAACAAAAGGGTATAAAGTGAAAAGTAAACATTTGGTGTGTACATGGGAGGGGTGAACATTTGCTTCATTAGCTCACTTTCCAGGTTTGTTCAATTCTAGAAATGCTCCAGAAATAACTTTCCAGAAATGTTCCAAGCATATAAACATATCCTTTAAAAAAGACATATTCTTTTAAAAAAAGAAAAGAAAGAAAACTTGGGCTCCCATTGTATGATTCTATAATTTCTCCTTTTCTACTTACTCTTGTTTTGTGTAGCAGTATACAAAGAGATCAGTCACATTTGGGAAGTGGGGCAGTTTTGGGGACCAAACCCAGGACATCACAAGCTAGCAACTCTATCACTGAGCAATACCTCCAACCCTAGCTGGTTTGTTTTTCATGTACGTTGTATCTAAGTATAGTTTTTCATCTTACGTGCATATGTAGTCTTAGGGTCCTAAGACTTCCCTCCTGATGTAGGAATCCCTTTCTAATCCGCTGGTAATTTACTTTCATTTGACTTTGTTCCAGAGGTAACTTTTTTCGGGGGGAGGGGGGGTTTGATACTCAGGGCTTCACATTTGCTAGGCAGGCACTCTACTGCTTAAGCCACACCTCCAGTCCATTTTGCTCTAGTTATTTGGAGATGGGGGTCTTGTGAACCATTTATCTGAACTGGCCTCGAACCGCAATCCTGATCTCAGCCTCCCAAATAACTAGGATTACATGTGCAAGACACCAGCACCTGACCAGAAGTATCTTATTAAGCCAAAATCAGACTCCCTATAACTTCTATACATTGACTGTAATTATATTCCTTACTGCTTTATAGAAAACAAATTCCTGTAATACTGGTGAATGTTTCTTGAACCCTTTGCCAAACGTTGTGCTAAGTATTTTCATTACATATTCTGTATCATTTTAATTTTTGGGAAAATCCTGAGTTACATAAAATTCCTAGGCAGTAGATGGGATATTCAGAATTCACAGCAAAGTCTAAAGTGTTTAGAGGCTGAGTAAGTAAAAAAAATGGGGAGGAGGGGTGGACAGGAGTAAAAGGAACCAACCCAAATGGATGTTTGCCTAAAAGTTCCCTTTTTCCCCTCCTTTTTTTTTTTTTCCCCTTTGGTGATACTGGGGTTTGAACCCAGGACTTCCACTTGCAAAGCAGGGGGTTCTACCACTTGAGCCATACCCTCCAGTCCATTTTGCTCTGGTTATTTTGGAGATGGGGTCTTGAGAACTATTTGCCCAGGCTGGTCTTGAACCATGATCCTCCCCATCTCGGGCTTCCAAGTAGCTAGGATTAAAGACATGAGCCACAGGCACCCAACCTGACCACCTCCCTTTTAAGCTGTTGGCTGGCTTTGGACTCAGGTGGTAGAGTACCTGCTTAGCAAGAGTGAGGCCCTGAGTTCAAGCCCCAGTATCAATAAACTTGACTAAAGTAGGTGCCCTAACTATATCTGTGACAACTATAGTTAGGGCTTCCCATTAGTCATTTCCAAGGCAAAAAATCCACCCTAGTTGCTTCAGCTGTTCTGCATGTATTGAGGATTCATGATCATTGCCACTCTGGTGGACTGGAACTATTCACTTGTATTCTGCCAGGACTGTTAGGTTGCTGGGGGTACAACAGTTTGGTCCGTAAGGAGCAAAGGTTACAAACTAGTGACCACTTGTTGGCCTACATTTTGCTTTCATTTTTGTTGATTTTTTTTGGTGGGACTGGGGTTTGGACTTGACTTTGCTTGCAAAGCAGGCATTATACCTCCTGAGCTACCCTCCATCCCATTTCTCTGTGGTTATTTTGGAGATGGGGTCTTGTGAACTATTTGCCCAGGCTGGCCTCGAACTGGGATCCTTCCAATCTCAGCCTCACAAGTAGTTAGGATTACAGACATCTGGCACTGGCTCTGTGTTTTGCTTTTAAAAGTGAGATTCATGGGGCTGGTGGAGTGGCTCAAGCGGTAGAGTGCCTGCCTAGCAAGTGTGAGGCCCTGAATTCGAACCCTAGTACCACCCCAAAAAAAAGATTCACATGATCTTGATATTTGACTTCTCTTGAAAAGTAGATGGTCCTTCATTACAAACTGGAACAAGGTAGTAAAAGTAGCTTTAGCTGAGCAGGATTCTCCACTGTAGTTCCCCCCACACCTGTTATTTTTATAACCAAATTTTCCTCACTATTGGTAGAGATTTTCTTACTCCAACAAAGTTTGTACTGCTTGCAGGCACTCAGGTTTGTCAATGAAAAGCCAAAAGCTAAAGACATTATGTTCCTTTGAAGTGTTGACAAGTGGGCTGGGTCCATTTAATTCAAACTTTCCTAAATGTCCCTCTGTTAGTTGTAACAGCCCAGCTACTCTTCAGACAGTTGGTGCTGTCTGGTCAGTTGGCTCAAGGTACAGTTAGCAATTTACACCTACCAGCTGGTACAGAGGAGCCTCCCATTAGTGTTGTGTGCCAAGGGAACCTGTAAAGGAATGGTAAGTGTTGACTTTGCAGCCGTTTGAAAGGTCATTTGCCAGGTTAGTGCCCCTTAGTTGCCTTGACCTGTCATCTAAAAACCTATCTTGAGATGTCTGCTAGACACACTTCAAAGGTATATGGTTTACTTCATGGGTGGAAAGGGCACAGACTCATTTTATTAGCTAATAAGGTATTGGACAAATTATCTCTGGAGCCTCAGTTGTCTTTTAAAGTGGGGCTAACCAGTTCTTACCTTAGGGGGTAATTGGGAAGATGAAATGAAACAATTCTGAAGGGAACTTTGTGCAGGTCCTGGCATGAGTAAGCATTCTGTAAAAGAAGTTGCTGTTGGAGAAAGTTCAGGTCACTCCTTTGGCTTCAGGGTGTAGGACTTGGTGTGAGTCAGAGAAGGAGGGCAGAGAGCCCATCTGTTGTCCCTGTGGCTGTCCTGATGAACCTGCTGTTCCAAGGAGGAACTGCCCCAGAGCTAGGAGCAGGAGCTAATCTAGGCAGGGCTCTCTTCACAAAACTACAGGAGGATGTGAGGGCCCCCAACCCTTTGCCAGCATGTAGCTGGACTTGAGCAGCTGTGTGCTCCAGTCTTCAGAAAGGCAGGACCAGGACATCCTGTTATGACCCAGAGGCCCCGTAGGGAAGGCCTTGAAGGTGAGCTGGTGCAGCAGGATCGTCAGACCTAGAGCTTGTTCTTCCCTCTACTTGGTGCACTGCCCTTGGCACTTCGCTCCACCATCTGCCGTGCTACTCAGGCTATAGTCTGTGGACCTGCAGCATGGAGTTTGTTAGAAATGCAGCATCTTGCGTCTGCCTGCTAAGTTAGAACCTGCTTTTTAATAAGACCCCAGGGATTCATTGTGTCTGAGAAACACTGTTCCAGGCACCCTATGCCTCCTAGTTCATTTCCTTACTTTGGGTCTGGATGAAGTCCACCAGTGCCACTGATGGTAGGAGGCCTCCCAGCAGGTATAGTTCCTTCTGGATCTACCACTGTTCTGAATAAAACAGTAACTGAGGAAGCATCACAGAAAGGGCAGGAAAGCAATGCAGAAAGACTTTGTGAACCTTTTGTGAGCAAGGAGAAACTAAAACTGGAATTCCAAGGATGGTAGGTCTGCATCAGGAAAGATGACCTAAGATCTGGGGAAGGGGACAATGTGCAATTTATGACCCAGTGAAAGGCAAGATAGACTTTCTCTCTGGTTGTGTGGGAGGCAGGCTTGGTGCCTCAGGAGGTCAATTTGATCATTGGAGGTGATGGCGCTCATCTCTGTCTCTGATGCCTCCATTCTTTCATCTCAATAACGAGAAGAGCCAACTTGAAAATGCTCCAATCTGAGGGATCAAGTTTCTTAGCCCAGATGCTAAGTCTCTGAAAGGTTTTTTTCTAGAATCAATAGTATCTGGAGAGTTTTCCTTGAGACTACCACCCTTGGGGCTGATATACCCCTATTGCTGAGACAGTGGCAACAGCTGAATCACCTAAACCCTAGGAGGATTTAGGCTTCCTAGGAAGAGCTGAGGGGAGCTTATGAATGTAGTGGGTGTTGGGAGGTAGGACCCACCATGCGAAGCTGTGACTTTTATTAGTTTTGCAGTGCTGGGGGTAGAACCCAGGGTCTGGCACATGCTAGGCAAGTGCACTATCATTGAACTACTTCCCCAGCCCTGTGGTCCATTATGTGAGGACTTCAGAACTTATTGACAGGGCACTTACTGAGAGCTTAAAATTTCCCATTCTTGGGAATGTCAGAAGTTTTTCTTTATAGTTACTATAAATGTGATTGTGTTCCTGATTTTATTTTTGGCAGGTCAAATACTGGGATTTGAACTCAGGGCTTCACACTTGCTAGACAGGCGCTCTGCACTTGAGCCACACATCCAGCCCTGTTTTCCTGATTCATTTTTTCATTTGCTTTTTTTTTTTTTTTTTTCCGGTGCTGGGGACCGAACTCAGGGCCTTGCACTTGCCAGGCAAGCACTCTTCCACTGAGCTAAATCCCCATCCCCCTGGTTTATTTTTTGTTTTAGTTTGTTTTTAATGTATAGAAATACTACTGATTTTTGTATGTTGGTTTTATATCCTGCCATGTTACTGAATTTGTTTAGTTCTAATATTTTTTGGGCGGTGGAGTCTTTAGGGTTTTCTGTATGTAAGATCATGCTATCTGCAAATAGAAACAGTTTATTTCATTTCTGATTTGGATTCTTTATTTTTCTTTCTTAATTGCTCTGGCTAAGGCTTGCAGTACTATGCTATATAGAAGTGGTGAGAGAGACATCCTTGTCTCATGGATCTTAGAGGAAACCTTTCAACTTTTCCTTAACAAGTGTGATGTTAACTGTGGCTTGTCATAAATGGCCTTTATTGTCCTTTTATGCCTACCTTCTTGAAAGTTTTTCCATGAAAGGATGCTGAATTTTGTCAAATGCTTTTTTGCATCTAGAAAGGTGAATATGTTTTTTGTCCATTAATATAATGTATTATTGATTTGCTTATGTTGAACCAGGATGTCAGAAGATGGCAGGTATTTCCACTATTTAATGGTGAGTGACACCAAAAGAGCCATGAAATGATGCTGGCCCGAGACTTAGTCTCCTGCTCTTCTGAACATTGACTCATGAGGATCTTCCATTGTGATCCTTCCCTAGATGTTTCTATCTCCCACCTCCAGCAATGGGCAAGAAAGTCATCTCTCTCTAGCTGTCTTATCTTATTGGCAGTAAAAGAAGTTAACTTCTCAGTGTGTAGAGATTAGGACTTTGCAATCTAGAAAAAAAAGGCAGATACAGAGTCTATAAAGTCATATTGAGTGTTGGCAGAGTAGACCTACATTTACCTATCAAGCCCTGGATTACAGAAACTTGGAACTAGAGAGTTCTTTGGGAGAAAATATCTCATTATTAAATCAACCCAACTTAAACATTAACCAAAAAAAGTAGGCCATAGAACTTTGAAGTCAGCTCTACTTGAAACAATTGGGTCCTTCACATGTCTTAACTATTATCAGTAACAACATTAATCTAACCTTGGTTTTATCTACAGGCTTTGATTTAAAACTGCATATTAATTCACCTTGAATCCTATCATTAAGTTTATCCATGAAATATTTTTTGAGTATTTACTACAGACATAGCACTCTGCTAGACATCAAAAAGGAATTGTCTGGGCTGGCAGTGTGGCTCAAGTGGTAGAGCACATGCTTAACAAGCATGAGGCCCTGAGTTCAAGCCCTAGTACCACCATTAAAAAAAAAAAAGGAATTGTCCGTTATACCATCCTTCAGAACCTTTCAATGTATTTACAGAAAAAGATCCATATTTGAGTTAACTGGACAAATATAAGTAATATAATGAATAATTTGAAAATGTTCTGATAAATGGATTAGAGAGGAAATGAGGCTCACATCATCTTGAAATGGTCTTTCTCTGAGACGGGCATGAGCTAGACCATGGTAAGATGGGGACAGGGACTTGGGCTGGCCCAAAGCTGGTAAAATGAGTGACATGATCAGGAGCCCACAGTCTGGGTATGGGAAGAGTTGGAGATTGAGGTTGACCAAGCAACACAGGACTAGTTTGTGACCTGCTAAGGAATAAGGTACTTTGGTATTTTAAAGTTTCAGAAGACTCATCCTGAAAATCAGTAATCATTT